AGAAACACAAAACAAGAGTTCCAGATCATCAGTAATGATGTACAAGCCATACATGGACAACCAACTGAAAAAATTAGGCCTGGTTGAAAGAATACATGAAGTCAAAGCCAAAGATGATATGGGTGTGGTCATCAGACAAAGCCTAACAAAATCTGAATCTGCATCAGTCCACAACAGCCATCAAGCATGAGCACTATCCACTATGGACAGTTGAAGAGGTGGTATCAAGTATGCCAAATCCAAAGACACTCTCAGTACTTGATGCAAATCAAGGCTTTTGGCAGATCCAATCTGATGAAGAAAGCTCCAAATTTTGCACATTCACCATGCCCATTGGAAGATGCAGGTTGCTTTGTCTTCCATTTGGGGTATCACCAGCCTCTGAGGTGTTGCAGCGGGCAATGGCACAGATGATCAAAGGTCTGGACGGTGTTGTCAACATCATCGATGACATTCTTGTCCAGGGAGAAACAGCTGAAGAGCACAATCACAGACTCAACTTGCTATAAAGAGGTAGAGAGCGGAATTTCAAACTAAACAGAAACAAATGCAAATTCAGAACCAAATAGACTATGTGTGGTTATGTGTCCCTGCAGAAGGCCTCAAGCCAGGTGAAGAGAAAGTAAGAGCTACGACACATGCCACCACCCAAAGACAAGCAAGGAGTCATGAGATTTATGGCCTTAACTTTCAAATTCATACTCAACTTATGTGAAGTCAGTGCTCCTGTTAGAAGGTTACTAGAATGTGATACTGAATGACCCTGAAACAATGAATCTGAAAAACCTGTGTCACTTTCAGTGGATGCCAGTTTAGAGGGAATCGGAGCAGTTATACTGCAAGAAAGCAAGCCAGGAGCACTAACCGATTGCCAACCCAAGTACATGCAAATCAAAAATTGTGTATGGCTGTGAACAGGTCCATCAATATGTTTATGGTAGAGAAATTCACATAGAGTGACCACAAGCCATTTGGGGGCATCTTCAGAAAGTCCCTGCACAAAGTCGCACCAAGGTTTCAGAGAATGCTTCTCAAGCTTCAAAGGTACAGTCTCAAAGTTATATATAAACCAGGCAAAGAAATGCATATGCAGATGCACTGAGCTATGCATACTTCGATGAACAGACTGAAAACTTTGCTGAAGAGCTGGAAGTCAACTAGGTCACACCTCAGCTGCCATATCTGAGGAAAAGCTGAACAGAATCAGAAGTGCAACAGCTGCTGATACTGAAATGCAAATGCCACATACAGTAACCAAGAAAGGCCAGCCCAATGGAAAAAGTGCAGTTCCCAGAGAGATCCAGGCATACTGGACATTTAAGGAAGAAATAAGCTACACATCAGGGTTGCTGTTAAAAGCCCTGAGGTTCAAAGCAGAATTCAGCAGTTTTGCAAAAGACTGGGAGTTTCAGCACATCACTTCAAGCCCAGGCCCCAACCAGGCAAATGGCCAAGCTGAGAGAACAGTTCAGATGGTTGAAAGCCTACTCAAGAAGGCACACTGTGGTAAGGCTAAGGGATCCATACATTGCCCTATTGGGGTGCTGCAACACCACCTGAGGGCCTAGTTTTCTCCCCTGCACAGCTTTTGATGGAGCACTCCAAACTTCTAGTTTCCACCACTGTCCTAACCCCTGAAATAACTTTCAGACACAAGACAAGTTCAAAGTGAAATAACTCTCCACAGACAATGTTTTTTCCCAGACATTCATGCTGGGAAAAATGTAAGAATTCAAAGAGGCAAGTGGCAACTGGCAGGAGTACATGAGCCGCCAAGATCATTCACTGTTCAGACACCTGAAGACATACAGAAGAACCAGAAAGCATCTTCTGAAAACAAGAGAAAAACACTTTGTAGCAGCTTCAACCAGTGCAGCTGCAGATTCGCAGTGAGAAAGTCATGTGAGCGATGCTGACACCTCCAGCAGTCACAAGACAGAGCGACCTAACAGAGTCTCACCCACAAGAAGGCTACGAAGATTAAGAGAATGAAAAAAATCACCTCAAAAAAGGGGGATGTCATGTACCTAATCGGGATCTGTACTACAAAGTGTGTTGTAATGATGTGAGGTATGTTCTGAAACAAAGAAATGAAAAAAAAAGAGATGCTGCAGCAGCAATGGAGGTTTGTAAGCTGATCACCAAAACCACCAAACGTTTTGTTTTGGATGCTGGTATGCTGGTCAACCTGCATGACCATGCTGGATGAGCAGCTAAACCAGCACCAGACCAGCACTAGACCAGGACAGACCAGCATAGAATTATTAGTTGCAGCATAAGACAAGTTGTTACTTAGCAACCAGTGCTCAGCCGCATGATACAGTTATTGTGGAGAAAACCTTCTGTTATCAGAGCCAGTTTAAAGGGAGGCTGGTCACTTCTTATGTCTACCATTATATCAAAAACAAGACTGCAAAACGCAAGAGGGCACCATGAGCAAGTCCTCAGTGAATGGGAATTAATGGAGCTAAACAGCTATAAATGAAAACTCAAACATGTTTCTAGCCATTGGTCCATGACCTTCCTTTCATTTTGGAAAGGAGCAGGATGTATTCCATTAAAATATTAAAGAAAACCGTATCAGTATCATTCCATTTTTCTACAGAAAATGGGTTTTGGGCAGTAGGATATTTGTAAGGTGAATCGTCTTTGCTAGCATCCCTGCTACCGCATGCTAATAGGATATTTGTAAGGTGAATCGTCTATGCTAGCATCACTGCTACCGCATGCTAATTGGTGGGCGAGCTGATCAGCTCATTAGCTGAGTAAAACAGTTCACCTTCACTGATGTCATACTGTAGGTACTGTTAGGCTGGCTTTACATGGTGAAACTTTAGTTGCTTGAAGCCTACATGAAACTAAACTGCACTTTGTAAAGTGTCCTGCAACTCATTTGAAACTCAGCCGCAACAGTTGCATGAAACAGCCAATCAAAATGCAGACAGCACATCATGTGATCGAATCAGACCAGTGGACAAGAAAATAAAAAATAATCTGCAAAAATATACCAGTAGTGTTGAAATATTTATGCTGTTCTGTGTTCAGAAATGTGCTTTTTCTATATAAAAATTAAAAGCTATGATTTTGCCCCATAACAGCCTGTTCATTTTGGCCATAGAACGCCCTCTAATGTTTGACAAACATGGAACATTTCTCCAATGTTATCACCAATAACAGCACCAATAACAGAACTTTCCTCAACTAATCAGATTGTGTGGTTGGAACTAACTGTTGCATAATATTGCATAACCATCAGTATAGTAACTCATCAGACTTATTTAAGCATAAGCATAATATTTAAACATTGCTAATGTCCTGAGTTTCTTAGAGAACAGTCAGTTTCTGTGCAAATAACATGAGCAAATATGCGTGTGAAAGCACTGGGCCTTGCCTGATTCACTGTGTGGGGTACACATCGGTACACTGCGGCTGTAAATGGCACAGCTAAGCTCCCATATGATTATTTGCACAAGAGCAGCCAGATGATCCATTTGATTAAAACTTCCTACAATGACATTTCCCGTTTACTCCAGCATGTGAGAAAGAGAAGCCTTGCTTAAAAAAAAAAACATAATATAAATAAGATTACTGGAAGCAGTTGGCTTTTACACGTCCGTGTTTGAATAGCATCGAAGAAGGAAGTGAAAGAAAGATAAGATAGAGTAAGATTGTGACGCAATGCCCCTGACAGTTTATTTCCTTTGATTTCACATATATTTATACAGAAAAAAGGAGCCACAATTTCATCTTCATCAAGCGTCCTGTAAGTAGTGTTCATCTAAAGCTTACACATAAAAACAGAAAACAAAATCCAAATATACAATACAAATCACCATAGAACAAAGTATGAGAACTAAATTAAATGTACTGCTTTTTAGCAAACCGGTCAACCACCATCTGAAATAGTCTTTCTTCATCAGTTTTTTTAATTCAGTCTTATGATTACATTTCTCCTCATTTGGATGTCAGATGTGAAGTGTGGGCAGGTGGGCTTGGCTGTGTGAAGGTGGCACCAACAATAACAGCAGAAGAAAGAGTGAAAGGGAGATGAAGTGTCTTAGAAAAAAAGGACAACCTGATGTGTGAAAAGAAAATACAAAAGACAAAAATGACTATTAATAAGCACTACACTAAGGCAGCGTGACTCATGACTCATTGTTTTGCAATGCTAACATCACATGTCTGCTTTAGACTTGGTCAAGAGTAGAGGTAATAATACTTTCTACCTTTTCATCTATATATTATAAAACATTCTAGTTTCGTATCCAGAGACTGTCCTACATTCAAATAATAAACACTGATGTGCTGTTACACCATAATTGACTGACACCACAACACTCTGCTTGAGCTCTGAATAAAGCTTCCATTTTTATGTGCTTATTTACAATGATTAAAGTTAAAATGTCAGCACTTCAGACGTTTTGCTTGCAAATAACACGGTAGACGGTTATTTAAAGGGAGATTTCTGCATAAATCAGTGGTTGAAGAAGTAATCCAGAGTGGTTTGACATGAAATTGTGAATTGCAGAGAAAGTTATTGGCACTACTGATTTCTTTACAGTGGTGGTGATAGGAACCAGTGGTCCTGATATCTGCAACACAAATAGAGCCATTGTATTTACTACCAAAATGACCAGTGAACCTACTCCACTTTTAATACAACATAACGTTGATAATGTTACATTAATGCTAAATCTGAAATAATAATTGGACAACTCTACCTCACGAACATCCTGCGAAAATATGTTTTAGGCTGAAATCTTATCACAAATCTATCGTAAAACAATGTCTCAAAGATCAGGCAACTTCCAAAAACATTCAATGACTCAGACGTCTGGTTCCACCACTGTGAACAATTCTGATTCAGGACGTTTCTCTAGAATGTATCATTTCACGTCAAACCACTTTGTTTACATCTTAATAATCGGTATTAAACGGAGTTAAATAACACTACTTAAGTGTGCATCTTTGTTTAGTTTTTCCTTTTTCCTTATAAATCATGTAGCAAGAAAATCAATTGTCTATTAATAATGAAACAATGTTAATACTTACAGTTGTATCCAGTGAGTTCAGCCTACAACTAAGCAGCATGCTGACATGTCAGATCTGTATCCGTCTAATGATCTAGGTTTTACTCTTTCTTTATATATTTTGTTTTACATGTGTTGCATAATGCACTATTTTGCTGCTGAAAATATAGTACTGACTCTAAAGGGACGAGGGGAGCTTTTGTCCTGACCACTATCACCTCAGATAAGATACTGTTAGTAAAAACATTGGATTATTTCTGCCAAACTCTGCCTTAAATCACAATTTAATTAATGATTTACAATTTAATTAATGATTTAAACCTTCATGCTTTATTCATTATGTTAAAAATATCAGTTTTCCAGTTACTGAACTCATTTGACAACTGCATAACTTACTGACTGACTGTGGCCAGTGACATTGGCTGATTTGGTGGATAAATAACCTCGGCGGCGTTTCACTGAGGGACATATGAATAACCACTTAGGCCTTGGTTAATTCCTTCATGCCATAAAAAACAATGAAACATTCCTCCTTCAACTGAGGGCAGACAGCGAACCAAATAATTCTTAACTTTGTTAAGATGATTTAGGTTGTGTTATTTTTTATTTATTTTTTTTATTTATTAAATACATCAATATTTTACAATAACACTGGACCTAATCTCCTTATAAACCTATTTAATTTCCATGTGTCTTGCTTACATGACACCACATACTAACAACTGATTATAAGCAACTAAGACCACAAGATAAATAAGAATTTACACACAATTACATCAAAATCAACTACAATCTCACTAACAACAAGAATGATTAAAATAAAGACTGCATAAATGAGTTAAAGTGTTTCAGTCTGGCCTGAAGTCGCATACCTGGCATGACTTGAAGTCGCATACCTGGCATTGCACAAGTGAACCAGCAACCCACGTGGCTCCAGAAGCACAGTGGATCAGATATGCAGCATTCCTTCAAGACAATGAAGAGTGACTAAACAGTTTCTGAACAGGGCAGAAGTTTTCCATAATCGATTAATCTTACAGATTAACAAATTGTTTCATGAAAAGCATGTGCTAGTTTTGTGAGTGTTTCCCAAAAACCTTTGTGATTGCTCATTAACCCAGAACCATGTTTGGTAAAAATCCCCGCTTATCCACAGTCAAACTACTGAGTCACAAATTCCTGACACTTCCGATCTTATTACAGTGATTGTTGTTAGACGATGATAAAAACTTAACAAACCAAAGTTGCCTACTTACTACACTTTGTAATTACTGATATTAACCTATATATATTTAAAAAGTCATGAAATCATGAAAACATAAAAAGGCATTCTTCTGAGAATGAAAAAACATAATTGTATGTCATTTCTAACAAACGCAGCACAAGACTGCATGGTCATGCCAAGCATGCTACCTGTCTGTTGTCAGTAGAGCAGGCCAGGGTAGAGTTACAAAGCACTTTACTACTGGTTCGACTAGCCGATTAAACAATGCCACACTGTACTGTAGTGCTGGCAATACAGTGTTTATACAGTGGGCAACCCTCAGGAACTTCCTTTTGGAGACCCTCAGGAACTTCCTTTTGAAGAAATCTTTCATTTTATTTATTTAATTATCATGCTTTTATTTACACTCTTAAAGTATTTTTGTTTTATTTCATTGTTAAGTTTTGGTTGGAAACAAGAGGGTTAAATTCTTCAGACGCCCACTGGAAACTGAACTGGTATCACAACAATATCAACTTTCATTTGCTGGGTGTTTCAGATTGTTTTACAAGACTAGTTCAAAATGCATAAAAAAAAACTAAATAAAATGTTTCCTTTCTGGAAATGTGTTTTCTGCCTGGTTAATGTTTATAATACAGGGTAAGGTTCTATTTGGTGTAATTTGACAAGAAGCAGAACAGAACTAAACAGTCCAATCAAAAAAAACCAATGTTAGGTTTGTAATAGAGTAGCAGTACTTAAGGAAGAATGGGTTCATTTACATGAATTCATTCATTTTTAATGCAAACTTAATTATCATCTGTTATCATGACACCATGACATTTTTCGAAAATACACTGATATTGAACTTTATAATACTGTTCAGCACTACTATGTGATATACAAAGGCTTTCAGGAAACATCTGCACTTTCATAATAATACAATCCTATAAGATCCCATAATAATACAATCCTATAAGATAATTTAATAATCATTAAGGGTGAATTTATCATGCACTTAGCACTACTTTTGAGTGCTTGCCCCAGCTATGGAGTGGGTTTTAGCCTTCCAGTTCTATATCTCAGAGGAATTTTTAGGAAAACTTTCCTTCATTCTAACATTATCAGTAAGGAAAGTTGTTTTCCCAACTATGTGGATCAATCCACATCTACAGCGAACACTCCTCCCTCTGTATTAGGCACTGTAGCAGAGTCCTGACCACCTTCACCACCATCACGCCCTGCATCAGCATCTAACGCAGAAGCAAAAGAAGAAATCAAAAAGAAAAAAAAGAAATTTGTGATGGTGTTGAATGGCTGCAGATATAGGAGCCCATGTAATGATCTCTTCAGGCATGCTTAGCCAAATCATACCAGGAGTGATTTTGTGCTAGAAGAAGTCTGGAGTACCATCTTTACCACCCAAAACAAGAAAAAATATGGACTACGCCAAAAGGGAAAAGGTTGGTTGGTTTGTCCACAGCATTTCGAGATAAAGGAAGGCCTTCAGTGGCCTGGGCTGCTCACAGCACCCCATACTCCTGCAGAGACTTGATCAGCACAGTGTCCTTAACGTCATTGAAGACCATGCGGATGTTGTTGGTGTCTGTGGCGCAGGTGAAGTGAGAGTAGACACTCTTGCTCTTTTTCTCAGGGCTCTGGGCCTGCTGCGTATACATGTTACGAATGTAATTCATGGCGGCGTCCGCATCCCGACGCTTGCCTGAAGGAGGCGTCCAACAAGACAGAATAAGAATGGTCAATGCAATGGACAATAGGAGTCAGTATACAAAAGTAAAGACAGGTAGAACAAAATGAGACCAAATGAAGAAAGTTAAGAGAGACAAAGAAACTTCCAGTCCTAGTCCTGTATTCTGGAGCATTTCGGTCCATTCATCATGAAAGTTTCATACAATGTAAAGAGTAGCTGCCATGGTTAAATGATGTCGAAATTAAACATTTTAAAAAGATGGTGATACTTGTTTTTTTTTTTTTGGATAGCGACGATTGTATTATTACATTGGCCATATCAAGGGGCGATCCAATTCTGATCCTTTGTTCTACTAAATTGCGCTTTATCTAAGACACTGTCATAGAAGTGAAAAAAAAAAAACAGACTTTCCATAACTTTCAGCACTGAGATGCATTTTCAGAATGTAACAAAGTGATATTGACAGATAGGTATCCACATTTCTTCAGAACACGGTTAAACTAGCCACATGTAAAATCTAACTGTGCAGCTTAGCAATAATAGCATAGTTACTGCTGAGAAAAAGGAGTAGGCCTAATTGAGAAAACAAAATTTAGATATGTAAGTAGCATATTCAAGACATTATGCATTTACATATCAAATTGCAGTCTATCAAACTATGTGCACACCAAAAATAAAGTGATTCTACTGCAGCATTTCTCAGTAATTGGTATGGCCACTGATCACTCAATAAATCTGGATTATAAGTCAATATTGGGCACACTGTAGAGTGATTATTTCAAAAAACAAAACATTGTCAGAGTAGGTCACATTTAATAAAAGTATTTGATTTTACTGTAGCATACTTTAGCATGTGAAAAATAAAGAAATTGGCTTCACATAGTATGTGTTACCTAGATCAGACTAATCTTATCATATTTGCAGTGTGTACTGTGGGGCACTATCTACAAAAATACAGACATCAGACTGGGACTCAGTATAAACAAACCTTGACCGAGTTATCCCAAACAGAAACAACTAAGATGATGATTGATGCTGCTGGAACTGTTGATGCTCCTGTGCTAGAGTCACCTTCTAAATAAGCCTTTCTCTTTTGGTAGTAGCCTCATCGGTGCAGTTCACTAAATTGTCCAGTCAAATTTACATCAATAAGCGACAGGGACATCACAAATCCCAACACACAAGCAGCCGTCATAGCCAAGGGATGAAAATTCAACCTAGCTCCGACAGTTAAATGGCCTACCTTCTGGCCTGATCCCTGATGCAAAAAGTTGGCCATTTTATGGTTGCCAAGGGTAACAGAGGGAAACGAGAAAGTGGAGATTTGGAGATACAGAGATATGCAGAGACCCTTCCATACACATGGCTAGTCGTGGAACATAATCCCATATCAGCTATAAGTAGGATGGACATTTTTTGCTCTTTCCCCTCAGGTGTGTGTAATTTGAGTAGCAGATTCATCGTACCTGTGAAGTTGGAGAAGTAATCCTGCAGGTCTGATGTCTTGATCTTCTCAGCTAGGATGTCCATTTTGTTGAGGAAGAGGATGATAGAGGAATTGGCGAACCAGGGTGAGTGGATGGTGGTGTAGAACAGCGTCAGACTCTCTTCCATACGGTTCTACATCAGGGTGGGCAAAGAAAAGGGAGAGCAGAGTGGTTTATTCATCTTGAGGGATAATAAAAATGAGACAAAGACACTTATTCATAGCAAACAGGAAGGATATATTACAGGATGTGGGAGATCCATTGAGAATACAAGCATTTAAAGTGATAGTTTAGGAAAAAATCTAGTTTATACAATTTCTCCCTGCTTCTGTAGTCATCCTTACTAAAGTTCATTTGTTTAAGCAACTTAGATTAGTTTGTTCATTCAACAATAGGCTACCAATAAAATGTTAATTTTTTAAAAGGGGAAACTTAGCATACATTACATTTACGTCCTTTGGCAGAACACCATGTCTTAACAAGTATTTAATAAACAAATACTTGTCTTTAGCTCACAGCCCCCACTAAGGAGCCCAGGGTTTGATTCCCTGCTCAGGAAAGACTCCTAATGCTATATTAATTACATCTGTAAGATGATTAGACTGTAAGTCAAAGAGTTTAGGAGAGTCTGCCAAATGCCACAAATGTGATGTAGGCTAAGTTTCCCCTTTATAAATTTGTAAATTTTATTGGCAGCCTATGGTTGCATAAACAAACGAATGTAAGCTGGTTACACTGGATACACTGACAGACTCAAGGTAGTTTAATAGAAGATATGCCAAACACTTCCCCTCAGAGAGGGAAGAATGAAGAAGAAAAAGGTGCACAAAATCCTCCACTTACATCGCTGTTGTTCTCCTCCAGGACCTGGTCGTACTCGCTGAGCGAGGCCAGGAAGATGAGCGACGTCACGTTCTCAAAGCAATGGATCCACTTCCGCCTCTCCGACTTCTGTCCCCCGACATCCACAATCCTACAGCAGGGAGAATGTGTTTGAGATACGGCTGCACAATATTGTTTGTTAATCATTACCATGATGTTGACTTAACCCATATGAAAATCTTTTATATGGCAATGCAGGATTTCAAACATATGACATATATTAACATATAAGAATTTCCCCTAAACCCAACTATATTTGTCACATGTGGACATATATGTGACCTTTACTGAAACTGGCCACTTTCAAATATGGGACATATATTTTAGCCATATATGAACATACACAAACATATATGTGTAACATATATTTAACAATATATGATAGAAAATATTCATGTATATATGGCTTATATTACTCATATATACTAGCTTCATGTTATATAACAAAGTTTATGCATCTTTTTTCTTCCACATACTTCCTAATGAAGTGAGAATTAGTATACTAGCTACACATTTACACTCTAAAAACATGCACATTGTAAGCTATAAAATAAAATCAGTTCTCAATCAAACAAGCCCGTTCTTCCCTTCTGTCAAACAGCAGCTCAGTTATCTCCACATCAGGAAAATAAACTGCACCCACAAATGGGCTGTGCACCACAGCTGCCCTAAAATATTAACAGTTGACATGTTTGATTTATATCACCCTGTAACATGTTGTTTTTTTTTCTCCTTAGCTTTTGGAATTGATTTGCTAAGTAATGGCCCTGTCTGATCATGTCATTCACTTAACAAGGAGGAAATGGACTAGACAGAAAACATTAATGGCTTTGGACACAATGCTGTGTCCGAGAATTTCTAATGCCTCCACAAAAACTTATTAGAAATCAAGCGTGACGAGGAAAACACTCAGACGTCAACATCTCAGTACTGCAGGTCACGCCAGCAGTGTGTAAATCCCTTATGTATAAATAATTTTGTCCCCAGTGAAATTTACTAGTTACTGCATGCTTATTACTATATCTGGGAGTGATCTATACCTGAATGTGATCATGTTGTGCTGGGTCAAATTGCTTAATACTGTACCTGAGTGTGATCCTCTCCACTACAAAGGAGTAGTCGTTGATGCCAGTGGTTGGAAAACGCACCCGCAGCACATCCTGGGATGTTGGGATATAATCTGGGGCTGCGATGCGGTTTAGATTGGTGATGAAGCTACAGAAAGGTTGTTATTAGTAACAAGCAGCACTGTTATAATCATAAAACATGTAGAGTGAAGCATGACTTATGTTGTTTCCTGTATGCTATACATTAACGTCCAGCCTCAGACGCGTGCAAATATAAGACATGGTTAATTAGACAGAGTACACATGGAAGTTGTTATCTCTGAAGATGTGTACATTGTGTTAGAATAGAGTACTGGCTTAGCCTGAGCGTTAATTAAATGTTGTCCAGGATTTGTTTGTGTTTCTTATCATGAAAGAGTTCTGAGAACTGAGTGAATAGTGAGAGGATATATGAGAGAGAGAGAGAGAGAGGCAGGAAGTCTGTGACAGGGAAGGACATGATGATAAAAGGTAACAGGAAAATGCCCAGCTCTGTCCATCACAGGAAATTGGACGATAATGAGTAATGCGGAGTTTAATTAATAGATCTGTTTGGGAGCTCACTTATTAAACAGTAAGAATGAATTGTGTGTTATCTGGAGGCTCAGTGCAAGAAAAAACTGAGAATGAACCTAATATGAGCGCAATCCTGAACACTGGAGTTTTACTTATATATACACAGCAGGGTTTTCTCTGGTTCTGATCGTGCTTCACTTCTAATACAGCTATGTGGCGCCATCTGGTGGATATATTTGGTGTTCAAAATGTGCTCTAACATAGCCCCCCTCCCCCGCCCCCACTTGTGTTTCAATTTACACAAACATTGTCCAACCTCTTCATCCCTTAGTATGAAACTGGCGCTGAAACTTTTGACTTTAAGACTGGTAAATGTGAATGAGCTCTGTATGGATGCTCTGTATTGTGCTTCATTCACAAAGAAGTCCTGGATAAAACACTCCTTATAACTTCAGTGTGAGTGGGTGGGGCTAAACTGCTGTAGACTGAATAGGTGGATACATGGAAACGTGTTGGTTTTCATATCATCAAAGAAACAGTAAATTCAGAATAGACTGTTTTTACTGTTATGGACAGCAGAGTAAATGGCACATTTGAAAGTGTAACAATGTTTACATACTATATGAAACTCTTTCATTTCAAGAAAGTGAGGAAAGTTCAGTTTCCCAAGATATGGGCCCTTAAAACGTCAATTCATATTTAATTGGCTTATAATTGAGTTATAAATCTTAAGCCTTTATCCTTCAGACTCTCTTGCCATTTTCATCATTTTATTTAATATACAATAATGACATACAGTGTGAATTTAAATATTATGAACTATTCAACAGTTTTAGATATATTTTATCAATATACTGTAATTATCCATTTACAGTACTTTTTTTGGCAAGTTTTCTGCCTTTAGATTTGATCTACACTTCTGGAATACAATTAATTCTAGATATTCATTGTATACTAATTGAATTATTAATGTTCTACAGCTTTCTCGGGTGTTTTAGGGCTGTTCATCATTCTGGACACAACTAAAATTTCTTCATTTCTATTTATAGCTTCTGAGGTGTACTTTTAATTTTTTTAAAACTGTAAAGTTGTACAGGATTGTGCACATTTGAATAATTTTGTACTTTCATCTGCAACCAAACTGATTTTATATTACTGAGAGCACTGATTCTAAACCTTTTAAACAGTAGAGTATTATTCATTTATTACTATAATAATACTGTAAGTTTTGTAGTTACGCGAGTGCGGAAAAAGGGCCACACACAGACCCTCAGAATGTTAAGGGAGTTTTCAAAATTGTCAGTGAAAATGTTACTGGTGATGTGTCCATGGATAAAGAATTCTTTTGACCTCCTTATCAATAAAAACAGCCTACTAAACTGTACCTGCAATACCACAGTACAAGAATGTCTCTATTAGGTTCAACTGTGCAGTTCTACACAGAGCTGAAGTGAATTAATTCTTTGATCAACTTACTACTCTGTGGAGTCCAGTAGCTGGTATTCTCTTCGGCGACCATAGCAGATTTTAAGACCGGAGTCTGCCCACAGGCGCTGAATAGCGTCCACATATCTTCGCTCTAGCTGTGTCACCTGATGAATGATTACTTCTTGAAACCACTGTGCATACATCTATGAATATTGAGGAAAAAAACACACAAATTAAGTGTATGATCACAAACATAATCTTCAACTTTATACACACATTCTCACTGAATTATCTGCAATTTCACAGGGATTAATTAGATGGTTGATTAGATGGCCCTTCGTTGCTGTTGAGGACACAGTGGAACGCTTTGATGTTCATGCTACAAATGTTATTGTGGTCATATAAGTCCCTGACCATCTCTAAAGATGCATTCGACCCCATTCACACCTGAGCTTAGTGTTGTCAACTTATGATCACATCACCCAAGACAGATGTTAATACCAGACGTTCCTATTTTAGACTGATATGATTCCTGTCTTCTGTATGCTATTTAACACGCATACATGTTTTAGACTGTTGTGCTTGGACATGCCTTGCCTTTTTACTGTATTATTTTTCAACTGAATTCTATTCTGGGTCTGTGTTTACATTTTGGCAAGACATCTACCTTCAGATTTGATCTACACTTCTGGAATACAATTAATTCTGAACACTTATTGTATTCTAATTGAATTATTAAAGTTCTACAGCTTTCTCAGTTGTTTTAGTGCTAACTAAAATGTCTTCATTTCTACTTACAGCTTCTGAGGTGTATGGTTCATTTTTTGAAAACTGTAAAGTTGCACAGGTTTAGCACATTTAAATCACTTTATACTTTCATCTGCAACCAAACTGATTATATAATACTGAGAGCACTGATTCTAAACCTTTTAAACAGTAGATTATTATTCGTTAATTACTATAAATTATTTTGTAACTACTACAAAACTAACCTGTATGTTTTGTAGTTAGGAGAGTGCAGAGTGTGGGCCACACACAGACCCTCACAATGTTAGGGGCAATGATTAGACAAAAATACATCGTCAACAAATTTTCCATTGTTGATTTTTTTGCTTGTATTTTTAAAGTCGCGTCCAGCTTAGAGTGAGTTAACAACTTAACAAGGACAGTGATTCACTTAGAGTGTCCTACCTATCTGAGCAGATAGCGAAAGAAAAAGAACAATTACGGCTGAAAGTTAAAAAAGAAGAAAATTTGGAAGCATTTTCTTAAAATGAAAGATAAAGTAGTGACGTAGAACACAATGACTTCGCTTTTCATGGAAGCACAATGTTAGCTTCGACCTCCGGAAAATAAAACATGCTGGTCTGGATTCTGAAGCAGCAGGACGATCAGTAAATCTTTCCCTACATGCTGGTGTTCTGACTAACTGAACTACTGAGAATGCGCAGTTTGCACTGTAAGTGATGTGTCAGAATATGCTACCGTTACCACTAAAGCTTACTAAAGCTAGCATGTTACATTACTAACATTACGCACTGGAATATTTTAAGCTAAATCAGTTTCAAAACTATTGAACATTAGGCAGCTCGTCCTGTCACAGTGTTACATACATTAGCTACCTATGTACTATGTACAATACTAATTAGTATTATATTACTAATTATTGTATTATGTATTGTATGTTATACATTATTACCTTTATTATTATATGTTATTATGTATTATTATCTTTATCTAAATATTATTATATACTATTATTATTATTATTATTATTATTATTATATAGATATAGAAGAATTGCATTATAAAATAAATATTACTAATCATTGTCCTGTGTACAATACTAATTAGCTATGGCTAATTAGCTTAAAATATAACTCATTTTATAAACAAAAAATGCTGTCCACTCTTCCTGGAAACCTGTTTACACAAAGCATGTTATAAAATGTTAAACTGATTATGAAGCTGCAGCCTGAAGAGCTTTAATGTTAATGTACATATATTATTATTATTATATGACATATTTTATCTATTGTATATAACTCACTGTAGCTCAAGATTTAAAGGTTTAAAGCACCATATTTGGTCTGTGGTGATAATTTAGCTCTTGGTGAACAGAACCTCAGTTTGTCAGAACATTGACAAAAAAAAATATTGTTACTATGCACATTTACAGGCTACATTTAAGCTGATTAATCTATGATTAGTCATGAATAATCAACATTTTTTTTGCAGCCCTATTCTATTATCTAATTAAATTAATTTCTTTCATATTGTAAGGTTGGCACACATACATTTCAGGGTATTTGTTATATTTACAAAAGGCCAATAATAAACTGAACTGAACTGATTTTTTTGCATTTCTAAGAGTGTTAAACAGTGCATACACCTAGAGACTGGCGTATATGTCATTCTACTTGGTGTGAAGCTTGTGACAGTCTTCTTTGTCTTTACATATTAAATTGTACTGCTTAAATTATACACCTGTTATGTTATAAAATGTGCTACCCACATTTATTTTAATACAACTGTCAATACATAAGTCAGCAAAGTTAACCTAAATGGACCATTTATATTTATTTCCATGAGCACAAGCCAAAATGAAGGAAAACTACAAGTGCAGGCTGTTTAAAAGACATGCAGGGCCCCGATCTTCTAACCTCATTCTGTTGGTTGGCATAGGGGATCCTGAGGGCTGACATGGCTCCTGTCATGGCCTTCATAGCTGTAAAGATGTTCTGAAAAACCAGTTTGGCAAAAGTGCGTCTGTCCTCCTCTGAGTAACCCTTTCCATGGATGATCCTCATCTGCTTGATAAAAGTGGTTTTCCCACTTTCTCCAGTGCCTAGCAGAATGAAAAACAAACAGAGCTCATCCCTTAAGCAGACAGGTATAATTAAAAGGCCCATATCAAGAAATATGTAAACATTATTGAGGTTTTAAAACATACCATTCACCTCCAAGCCCATATGGTTCATACATACTAAATACTAAATTTATTGTTTTTTGTGAGGTCATGACAACCAATGTTTTTTCTTACATCCAACAGCAATTTAGCTGATTCATTTGCATTGAAGATATCAAAGTTACTGAAATTACTGAAAGAGTGTTTCAGCCTGGCATGTTTTTGAATGAGTTACAATGATCTCAATCAGATCAGAGATCATTTATATATCGCTGCTGTCTGAAGAAAACCTCATACGTCCATTTTTGTTGTTTTTCAGTTTTTGACATAATTTGAAAGTGCCTGTTGCTCTTTACACTGTGTGTAAATTTCTTGAAGAATGGAGGAAAAGAAACTGCCTAAAATGACTTGAAAAAAGTAAAGTAGGTTTTTTCCTTCTCCTGTAAAGTTATCATTTTGGAGATACAAGGTTTTCTTCTGAGAACAGTGATATATCAGCCTTAAAGGTAGCAAAAAACACTTTTCTTGCATTTCATTTTTTCCCATGAGGTACATTCATGATGTTTGTGTGTATTCATGTACCGAAAACAGTCATAATTAATTTTTACAAGATAATTTTCCAACTTTTCTTTATCCCTTACAATGAAACAAGCTGTTTTTATTACTTATATGCAAATGACCTCGGTCCTGATTGGCTGCTATTTATTGTGCCTCTTTACAAAAGTCTACACTCTTTATAACTCCACCATGAATGGGCAGGGCTAAACTGCTGTAGACTGAATAAGAGGATATATGTAATTGACTTGTTTTTTTCATGACATCACAGAAACAATGAATTCAAAACAGGCTGTATTTCAGCTTAGTTTCCATACATGGATTGTTTAGACTGGGGAGCGGACAATACGTTCGTAAACTTTTACAAATTATATATACCGTATCAAAAATAGGTTTTCCACGATATGGGTTCTTAAATTCTAAAGAGTAATGAGAAGTTGGAAAATGGCATAATAAATAAAGAATAATAAAATTAATGACAATTAAAACGTATACACATGGCCGCTTGAAACTGAAGAGAAGGATCGAGAAAATCCATCCCATCAAAAGTGCATTGTTTTCATCAATCAATATGCTCTCACTACAGTATGTGGCATGCATTACCCAAATCCCCCCATGTCAATAAAGAAATCCTGACTCTTATTGCAGTTGCTGAAGTTGAAGCTAATAAAAACAGTTATCTTAATATTTAGCTTCTAGCAGTAACCTCAGCAATTTGGCTTCTCTCTGCTTCTCTCTGGAAATAACATTTCAAAAACTTACCCTCAGGTATGTGCCTCAAAACACCTGTAGTTTTTTCTGAATTTCCCCCTCACCTTTACATAGATAGATACATTATCAGATAGGGCTTTTCCTTGTACTGAAAGTGAAAGATCTTGCTCTAGAGACTCCTATAGGGATTGCGTGGGCTTATTTACATGATGTAAACTAAGATGTAGTAATGGTTACATTTTTACTTTTCGTTGGCTCTTTTACCTACTATTTTTAGCACATAACCTCAAAAAATTACAATTAACTACAATGAAATTGTAGCATACGGCCTTTAAGGATTAAGAAAATACCTTTCACCAAAAACGTATCCATCAGTGTTCTCTAACTACAATACCCAGCAAGCATTATCCAAATGTGTCATACAACCATTGCGAATCCCCCCACACATGTAGAGGCTAATAAATATAGATGTTATATTCAGTTTCCTAGCCGTAACGTTGTGTGGCTTCGTTCTGCGTTCACCAACTGAATTATATAGCCTATAATTATGGGCCTCGAAGCACTTGTAGTTTTTCAAAAGTCCCTCCCACCTTCAAGATGCATCATCAGACGGGGCTTTCCTAGTCTTTAAACTGGAAAATGTCAATCTTACTCATGTAGGAATTGCCTGGGTATGTTTAGCACTGATGTAGTGATGCTTACATTTTCACTTTTGGTCAGTATACTTCCATTTTTACATTTTTTTGTTGTTTTTTCATCACTATTCAAGGTCATGTAATTATGCATCATGAATATTTTTAGTGTGTGAACACACGAATGTAAAAAAACTAGACTTCAGGAAAAAATACAATAAAACACAATAAAAATGTGGGATATGGTCCCTTGAAACTAAGCAGAAGGACTGAGAAAACACATCCCACCAACATGAACGGATACATGAACTGTAAATAAGTTATGTACATTTCCTTCAGCAGACTGTCAGCCCATTTACTGTCCCGACAGTTGTACTGCCCATAGACCAGATATGCTGGAATGTAAACTATCCTGTTAAGAATGAGGTGGCAAAACATTTGAGATGTTTTAATCACAGCCAGACAGACTGCAAAAGGCTGTCACAGAGCGTGTTCAATAGAGAAATCAAGTGGCTCCCACTTGTTTACTTATACATACACAGACTCTTATTTTGCTAGATTTTGATTGATCTGAACCTGCTGACTCCTGATGGTGCTATCAAACACAAACCTACTGTGTGTTATTGGTGAAAGACAGCTGCTAAAGCTGTCCTCACTTTAATCACTGTTTTTATAAGAGCAAATATTTGCTAATGAGACCTATGAGCAACCATGATCATCTCAAATCAGCTGTGGGGTCATAGCTGAAGAGAGTTGAACAGCAACATCAGAATCTTTACGAATACAAAAATTATTAATGTGCTTTCGGCAAAAAAGTTAAAACATATTTTGAGCAGGAATTCGTAACCTACATGTCTCCAAGTGTAGTCAATATCGTACAGTTAGCCTAGCAGCATAGTTTTATTCACTTACCTCTGTTGTGTCCGATCTTAACCGTCACGTGACAAACCACGTTTATCATATGAAACACACATATCTCGCATGGCCCACAGTCTCACACTTGCACATGTAACCTCACTGTCTGCTTCATGTGAAACTACAGTAGATGGACTTGCCATTGAATCAATTCATCAATAATCCGCACTGCAGAATGCAAACAATAACGGACTCTGTAGCGCACTGGTCAGGTGAATCTGACTCAGTGATTCAGTCATTTTCTGTTTGCATAATCTAGTGCTGTACTGACACAGTTGCATAACCTAATGCTATACCTACATGTTCTTTTTATGCATAATTTAAAAAGTCCAGTTACACTTTGCTTGTGTTCGGATTTCATGGTGAACAGGCCAACAGAACTGCTCGAAAATTACTTGGAAAAAAAACCATTACAAGTTAAGAAAATTTTTTCCTTCTCCAGTGATGTGACCATTTTGGAGATTACAAGGTTTTGTTGTATATAAGATATAAAAAGTTTATACAGGATTATTGAAATTAAAGAATTTCCCAGTAATTGTATTTACTAAAGCATAGTCATGTAACAGCTTTCTACAGGCAAATTGTAACTTTGCTACCACACTTTTATATTGTAATTTCATTAATTTTGAAGGGAGCATTTCGACCTTAAACTAGCACGTCACATTATGTAACACTCTGGGTGTGTCTCAAAACCTAGTGAGCTCTCTACATAGACAGCATTTTACGTCACAATATGCGCGCTCCCGACAAGAAGGCTGTCCCAATTCTTAGATATCTCAAATATGCTGCCTACTGAGGTACCTCATTTTGGCCCAATATCGAGAGAGCACCGGATGCGCTTCACCAAGCAGCGACGTCATCTTCAAATGTAAGTTATTCCGATTTTCTGGGGTATTTATCTGTTTTCTAGTCATAAAGGTGCACAAATAGCCTATACTTTCCGTGTTTGACCACAACTATTGTCTATTTTGCTGTTTCATTCAGAGCAAATACAATTAAAATCGCTATATAAACTGCCAGAGCAGATCCATGTTGGCTAAATGTGATTCTGATGGCTGAAGTAAGTAAACGCCGGTCTCGTGCAGTGGGCGGGAACAAGCGGTGACGTCACTGCTGTCTAACTAGAGCGTCTCATTTATCTGCCTTATAAGGACAGATGACGGTTGGAACGCTGCCTACTTAGACAGCTGCCTATGTAGACAGCGGCTACTTAGAGAGCTCACTAGGTTTTGAGACACACCCTCTGTAACACAGCAGTGCATCCCTCAGCCTCATAAGTTTGACAGAATTCACTTTTTTGTTTCCGTTTATTAATGTTCTCTAACCACAATACCCAGCATGCAGTACGCAAATACATCATACAACCATTGCGAATCTCCCCATGTGGATAAAGCTGCTAGTGTAGCCACTGATGTTGATGCTAATACATACAGAAGTGAGGGTCTGCTTCAGTAATGTTAGCTATCTGGATTCCTTTAGCCGGCAAAGACTTTGAAGACTTTCAAAAGTTTCTCCCACCTTTCAAGATACATCATCACAAGTGGCTTGTCCTAGCCCTTAAACTGGAAAATCTCGCTCTACAGATTATGCCGGCACCTCTGGAGAAGTCGCCTGGGCGTGTTTACAACATTAAAACAATGTATTAAAGATCACATTTTTAACTTTGGCTAGAGTGCTTCTATACGTGTCTTAAGGATTTTGAATTAACCAACGCTATGTAAATAAATGCAATTTTTTAAAAATCAGTATTCGTGTTTGGTCTTCCACATTAGCCTACTTCAGGAGTGTCAAACTGGGTTACTTCTGGGCCACAGCTCCGCAGAGATTACAGTTTTGCCTCTTTTAACGCTCTGTAATCAACTCATGAAGGTCTTTCTGAGCAGCTAATGAGTTAAATCAGGTGTGTTTAATGAGGAGGAGTCCTAAACTCTACAAAGCTGTTTTCAATCTGCATCACTTCACAGGTATGTATGTAATAACTCCCAAATTTTGTAAAGACCAGCATGAACCTTTTGCCCAGTTGTGGTGTGGCCTAGGCTACCTGTAAAGTGTGTCAGCACTTACCTAACAGAAGCACCTTTATCTCTCGGCGCTCTCTCTTTTTCTGGTCTGCGAGGATTCGTCTTATTTCATTGTCTATGGCGATTGACTTCTTTTCATCCTCGGACAAGCAGCAGGTGCAGTTCCGGTGGCACCATCCCCAGCACCCCATCTCCCCTAGAAATGGATTGAAATGTAGGCTGATCACATTTTGGACTAACAAATTCAGTCGAAAAGTCAAGTACAGGAGCCTAAAACAAGCATTGATTAAGTATGTGTGAAATAAAGGGTTAAGAAGTAAAATGAGCCACAGAAAAGTATCAGGTCCAAAAAAGACTCTCTGGCAAACGGCTGTGAAACTTCCAACATTCACCATCCATCAGCACAGGAGTCTGAGGTTTGTTAGGTGCTATTCTTCTCCTTTTGGGATTTGGTATAAAAAGTACTAAAGCTATACAGTGAGAGGTGTAAAAAGCAGCAGTCCAGATGCTGAACAAACAGAACGAAGGATTAAAATGAACTGAGGAGAAAAGTTTCTTTTCTCACAAACATACTTGTGTAGACTGTCGTAAAACCAGCAAAACTGTACTGAAATACATAGAAATGAGTAAATAAATGACTAATTTACTTGTCAGCTTACTAGTTTATAGTTAACTACTCACCAGTGCTAATAAGTTGGTAATGATAAAATCCCGTTAAGACTACACGTTAAGTGAAGTAACAACGAAAAGAAAACTTCGCCTGAGGATAATTCTAGAAGTCTCCTCAGTTTGCTGTATAGACGACCTGTCTGGTCCTGCTGGGTGCCATTTTGGTGTTGTTATGAGAGGAGGACTACCCCATACAGCGCTGACACGCTTATCAATCTTGGACTTTCCCCAATAAGGAAATACGAGACCACAAAATTGTTGACGACGTATAGCCAACAGAGGTAGATTATAAGAGGACTGACTACAAAACTATTTACCTATTAATATTTGAGAAATGAAGGGAAAAATCACTTACCTTCATTCGTTGTCACAACTGTTCCGGGAGCTTAAACAGTCTTCGGCTCTCGATGAGAAACTCGATCCATCTTTCCTCAGGTGAACTGAAATCGAACCAGAAACTTTTTCTCTTCACCGTTTTCTTCGAAAACTCCGTCGGGCTCGATATGAAACAGTTTCAGTCACATTATTTTCTCTCGCTTGGCAGCGGAAACTCCAACTAACTAGGAAAAGTCTAACTTTAATAGAAAACATGAAGAGAATGTGATCACCTGAGCCGAAACGCTCCCATTGTACCTCAGTGGAATGCGCCCTCCACCTTTTTCATTTCCCACCCGTTTAACGTCAAGGCCCCGCCCCCTGCGCTGTGATTGGCTATAAATGACATGCATACCGCCGATCTCGATACTTTGCCTTGTTACGATTGGCCAGAAGTGATCGAGCCGAAATTTAGCAAGTTAGCTAGTTAGAGAAGGTAAAGAAAGAAAGTAAAGACTGAACTCTTACTTTCAGCTTAGTTACAATTTTTGAGGGACACATTTGGGAAGAATTTGTAATTCTACACTCAGCTCTTAAAGGGGAATTTGACTAAGTTTTCAAATTTTTGGAATAATTCAGTAAGCTGAGTCATTCAGAGTGGTTTGACATGAAATGGTTTCTTCCAGTTCATTCTAATTTTTTTTTACAGTGGTGGCGACAGGAACCACAGGTTGCCATGTCTATGTCACAAATATAGCTCTTTTTTACCGTCTAAAACCACTAGTGAACCTACACATGTCCTTGGAATTGTTATAGGTATTGATGATAATGGTACAATAATGAGTAATCTGAAAAAATACATTTTCTTTGAGGACTGTTTTGCCTTAAAACGCTCTGCATGTATCCCTCTGCCATGAATGGATCAAAATGCATTAAGCCAAAACTTATTCACAAAACTATCACAAAACTATGCGTCAGACATGTCAGACATCAGAGAGCATTTATCTAAAACTGTCTGTGAGGAAGCTTTTTAGACTAATTTAACTCTTCATTAACTCAACATTTGGTTCCTATCACCACCACTGTGAACAATTCTGCAAGTTTGTCTAGAACAGAGCATTTCACACCAAACCACCTTGAATGAGTTTGTTTGGTTCTCAACCATTTTATTATGTGGAATTTTTGAAAAATTCAGTTCCCCTTTAAGAAACTCTGACCCTTGAGTTGCAGGTCCATGTTATTTGCACATGATATCTGTAAATACTCAAGGATACTTAGATAATGAAAGCTTAAGATGCTCTGCACAAGATTTTTAATTAAATTCTCCTATCGTGTAATTTCCTCATTATGTTAGTGGTGTACATCTACATTTAAAATCAATGAAGCTCTAAACAAACCACTTTTAATTCTATTGTTTTATATATATGGGCCTTTACTCAAATTATTATAACATGTCAGAAGGTTTCATTATTATTATTATTACATTTAGCAATCCTGAAATCTGGGGAGTAGGGCTGCAGTGCCCTCAGCACCTCACTTCCCATGTCCCTGCTCTGAGGGTCCATTTTTCTCAACTTCAAGCAGTTGCTGTGAGGTAGGTGGTCAGAAGCTAAGTGAAAGTTCTCAGTTGTCATGAACAGCCACTTTACTTTCCAGCTTTTGTTCTAGGTTACAAATGGTTTATTACTTAGGGAACAAGGGGTCGGTTTGAGACGTGGTCTGTGTTTCCTTGCCACTTACTCTAACAACACAGGTCAACCCCAGGGCTGGAGGCAGGGCGTGTCAGAATGCAGGTGGGTTAAAAAAAACATAACTATTGAGAGAGGGTTGAACAGTGACAGACTGATGCAGGTTTTTGGCATCTTATTTAAAATAAGTTCACTGTGAAGCTTTCTTTGCTCTGAGCCTAACACACCTTAATAAACACATTTTAAATTGCACAGTTTTCATTCAGAGAGTTTTGATTTAAAACAGTTCATTGTAGAGAGACTTCTTTCCAGTGATGCTCATAGGAACCAGGTGTTGTTATGTCTACAACACAAATATAGCCATTTTATTTACTATCCAAAACCGCCACTGACCCTACACGTGTCTACACGTAGTTTTCACATGAAATGTTGATAATGGTGAAATAGTGGTAAATCTAAAGAAATATGGGACTATTTTTAAAAAAAAAGGCATTTTAGACAAAATCTATTCTATCTCAAAACTATCGTAAAAGAATGTTTCATGCGCCAGGCAGCATATTCATAACCATTTCATGTGACACCTTTCTGTGATGTAGCTTTTAGCATTAAACACTTCAGACATCTGGTTCCTATCACCACCACTGTGAACAATTCTAACACTGTAAGTTTCTCTAGAGTGGAGCATTTCACACCAAACTACTCTGAATGACTTTGTTTACATCTTAACAATTTAATTATGTTGATTTTTTTTTTAATTTGTGGAATTCCACTTTACCTAGATAACTGAGATGTCTGTGGTCCTGGACTTCTGTGGCCCAGGCACTGGACTTTCCTTCAATAACATTGATGGAGTACAGTTTGGCGGATTTACAAAACCTGAAGCGAACTGAATGTTTGCCTTCATAGGTGAACAAGCAAGTATACTTGGTTCAGGTCTATGATGAGCTAGAAACAAAGCCTGGGCATGCACATACAGACATCTCGGAGTAAGAGTACTGACCTACAGTCAGCCATTTTGACTGTATGTGGCATATATGTGACAAACTGTATGTGAAAAAATGTGATATGAACATAAAAATCTGATCCTAGATCAGAGCGACTGCCCTTGGAGGTTTTAGAGCGACAACCCCTGGGGTCTACATTTAAATAGATCTAATATAAACCAGCCACTTGAAATGCTGTTTATGTCATTCACAATCATTAACCTGTGATGACATGTAGTAGCTTTTGCATTGGTAGTGTGTCAATGTAGCTTACTTAAAGGGGAATTTCATTAATTTTTCAAATGTTCATCATAATTAAATGGTTCAGACATGCACAAAAGCATTCAGAACGTTCTGATGTGAACTGCTCCGTTCGAGAAACTTACCAAAGTCAGAATTGTTCACAGTGGTGGTGATAGGAACCAGACGTCTGAAGTGTTTAATGCCTCTAAAAGCTCCCTCACGGAAAGTTATTACAGGTAATTGTTATGAATACATTGCATGATTCCTGAGACTTTTTATTTGCAATAGTTTTATGACAAGCTTTTGGCCTAAAATGTAATTTTAAATATTGTAGCGCTGACATAGAAGGAGATGTGGAACACATTGTGTGTATGGGCAAATGCTCTTTTACTTAGAACAGGCACTTCAACGGGCAGCAAGAGATGCCCAGCCCAGCACTAACGCCAACATGAAACACAGGGAAGGGGTAACAGCAGGACATGACATCCGATCAGGGTGGACACTTCTAATTATTAGTAAACTGCAAAGCCCACCCTCCTCAGACACAATGTACACCAAGCAACACAACTGCACTGAGAACAGCAACATCAGCAACAACAATAACAGTCCCTTTCACTACTTTTTTCATCATTATCAATACTACATATAAACCTCAGAAGAGTGTGTGGGTTCAGTGTTTGGCTAGTAAATAAAATGTCTATATTTGTGCTGTAGACACCTCAACCCCTGGCTCCATTCCACACATTTTGTGTTTGTTGCCAAGCTGCTGAGTTGTATATTGGGCTGTGTAGGTTAAAATAGACAACATAGCAGAGGAGGAGCAGAGAGGCTAATGGCTAATGATATTTGAACTGACATTTGAACACAGTTTAATGGAGAACAATAGGCCACTGACAGTGTGTTTGATAGAACGCATGATTGTGTCAATGAGTACAATATCACATTTCTGACTTCTGCAACTATTGAAAGATTAGTTGTTAAAAAAGAAGAACTGGTCTTGTGACCCTTGCTGCAACACCACTGCATACAGTGTGGTATGTTGGTAGCTCATTGGCTTCGGCTTTGCATGCAACCGCTGTGGCTGGTTTGTGAGCTGTAAACCGCAATGCATGACATTTTAACTACACTTAAAGGTCCCTATCCTATATTATTCTTGTACAACCCCATTTCCAAAAAAGTTGGGACGCTGTGCAGAATGTAAATAAAAATTGAATGCAATGATATGCAAATCATGTAAACCATATTTTAAAGGAAGATAATACAAAGACAACATATCAAATGTTGAAACTGAGAAATTTTATTGTTTTTTGAAAAATATATGCCCATTTTGAATTTTTTGCCAACAACACATTCCAAAAAAGTTGGTACGGGGCATGTTTACCACTGTGTTTCATCACCTCTTCATTTACCAACACATTTGAGAACTGAGGCCAATTGCCGTAGCTTTGAAAGTGAAATGCTTTTCCATTCTTGTTTGATATAGGATTTCAGCTGCTCATTTGGTCTCATTTGTTGTATTTTTCATTTAATAATGTGCCAAATGTTTTCAGTGGTGACAGATCTGGACTGCAGGCAGGCCAGTTTAGCACCCAGACTCTTTTAATACAGAGCAATGCTGTTGTAATACGTGCAGAATGTGGTTTGTCATTGTCTTGCTGAAATAATCAAGGCCTTCACTGAAAAAGATGTCGTCTGGATGGCAGCATATGTTGCCAAAACCAGTATATATAGTTTAGCATTAATGGTGCCTTCACATTGCACGTCACCCATTCACTAATATCCACTAATGCACCCCCATACCATCATGAATACTGGCATTTGAACTGCGTGCTGATAACAAGCTGAGTGGTCTTTAGCCCAGAGGACACAGTGTCCATGAAAAAGAATTTCAAATGTTGATTTGTCAGACCACAGCACACTTTTCCTCTTCCCCTCAGTCCATTTTAAATGAGCCTGGGCCCAGAGAAGATGGCAGCGTTTCTGGATCCTGTTTCTGTATGGGTTGTTCATTGTATTTTAGAGTTTTAACTTGCATATGTGCATGCAGCGCCAAACTGTTTTCACAGGCAGTGGTTTTCAGAAGTGTTTCTGAGCCCATGCAGTGATTTTCACTATAGAATCATACCTGTTTTTAATGCAGTGCCGCCTGAGGGCCCAAAGATCATGGCCAGAAAACACTGGTTTTTAGCCTTGTCTCTTGCCTACAGAGATTTCTCTGGATTCTCTGAATCTTTTATTGATATTATGTACCATAGATGATGAAGAGCAAAATTTCTTTGTTGTTTTATGTTGAGAAATGTTATTCTTGGATTGTTGCACTATTTGCTTGTGCAGTCTTTCACCGAGTGGTGAACCCCTCCTCAGCTTTACTTCTGAAAGACTCAGCCTCTCTGGGATGCTATTTTATTTCCCATCATGTTACTAACCTGTTGCCAATCAACCACCAGGTGTTTTTTAGCATTACACAACTTTACCAGGCTTTTGTTGCCCCTGACCCGGCTTGGAATGTGTTGTTGGCATCAAATTAAAAATGGGCAAATATTTTTCAAAAAACAATACAATTTCTCAGTTTTAACATTTGATATGTTATCTTTGTAGGGCGGCACGGTGGCGCAGTGGGTAGCGCTGTTGCCTCACAGCAAGAAGGGCCTGGGTTTGATTCCCGGCCGGGTGACCAGGGTCGTTTCTGTGTGGAGTTTGCATGTTCTCCCCGTGTCTGCGTGGGTTTCCTCCCACAGTCCAAAAACATGCAGTCAGGCCAATTGGATGTGCTAAATTGCCCCTAGGTGTGAATGTGTATGTCTGTCTGCCTGCCTTTGCGATGGACTGGTGACCTGTCCAGGGTGTATCCTGCCTTCTGCCCAATGACAGCTGGGAGAGGCTCCAGCACCCCACCGTGGCCCAGAAAGATAAGTGGTTTAAATGATGGATGGATGTTGTCTTTGTACTATATTCAATTACATATATGGTTTAAATGATTTGCACATCAGTGCACTTTGTTTTTATTTACGTTTGCACAGCGTCCCAACTTTTTTGGAAATGGGGTATTTGAGGAAATGAGGCTGAGGAAATTTCAGTTTCCCATCATAAGGGCCCTTTAATGTCCAAAAGTTTGTAGACACCTGCTGTTCCAAGGTTTATTCTGAAATGAAGGGTATTAATAGGGAGTTTGTCCCTGTTGCTGCAGCAACAGTATCTACTCTTCTGGGAAGGTTTTACACTTGATGTTAGGAACATTGCTGTGAGGATTTGATTGCATTCAGCTGTAAGAGCATTAGTGAGGTCAGGTGCTGATGTTGGAGGATTAGATCTGGATCACTCCAACTCACCCCAAAAGTATTGGATGGAACTTCATTACTCCTGGGAACGCAGTTCTACTGCTCCACAGCCCAGTGCTGGGGGGCTTCATACCCCTCTAACCAACACTTGGCATTGAGAATGGTGCCATTCTATTGTCAGTTCTTTGCTATGGATATTATATAAGCTGTGTGTGTGCAGTTAAACACCTGTGTCAGCAATGTGTGACCTTAAAGTAAATGAACAAACATTTTTTTTCATATTTTGGATATATAGTGTATTTGATAAGCATAAATACGTTAAATGTTTTAACCCACATTAAAATCTTTTTTTGTGGATTCAATCCCAATAGTCACATAGTGGTGCATAAAGTCTTTTTTTCTGAATGCCTGTGCTGGTATTTGACACTCCTTTTCGTCATCTTTCTGGATGTCAATCTTTTGTCCGCGCACACTAAACCGGTTCAACAAGCCTTACATGGTGGTGCTCAGCAAAATCCCCAGTGTTGAATTATCACCTACAGTGTTCACTGAAGTTCTTTAAAGGGCCCAAAGGGAAAGGGTCTTTCAGAAACAGTAACAAAAAGTAATCTGTTTAATTCTAAGGGATAAAGAGAAGCTAATTTTAATAAAAGATACAAGACAAGCATTAAAAGTGTAAAAATTAAGTAGAAAAATGTTGTTGTAATATAATTCAGTGAATACCACCCTGGGTGTGGGGGTATGCTGTGAGTGGAGGTCTCACATATTGCGATATATTTATATTTCACACAGTAGGCTACATGAAACATGGGAAACAGGAACATGGAGGTGTAGCCTAAATTTTTGGTGGAGTAATTGTGTCTGGGTGAGATAGGAAGAGGAACTTAACTGTGTGGCAACATGAATGGCATATGGCTATTGTGACAGTAATTATCTGAGGACTTAGCCCAGATTCAACTCAAGAAAGACTAATTAGCTGATGACTGGCTGTGGAAAAACATGACACACAATCAAACCCAATAATTGAACATAAAACCAAATTAAGCCTACTGAGAATTTTTAATTAGAATAAGATATTTTGTGGTGAAATTGCTGTGATGAAATGCAACATGCGTAGTGTTTACATAGTTTAACCCTTTTTTCACAGTAGCAATAAAATACAGTTACCTCCTGTTTTTCTACAGATCCCTCAGTTTCAGCACTTTACATTCTTTTCCTTCAATAACATTGATGGAATATGTTTTGGTGGAAATGTGTATGATTTACAAAACCCCAAACGAATGGAATTATCATTTTTGTAGGTGAACAAGTGAGTCAACAATTTTTTTAAAGACTATTGCATCTGAAGAAAGCTGCAATTGTGATGTCGCTTTTATCTTGACACAGCTATTTTTGTAGAGAGGTGTGAATTGTTTTCACCCCTCACTTTTCACCCCTCATTGCTTGCTAATATCTCAACACAGTCACAACAGAGATATTTTATTTAAACGACAATAATTAAAACTATCTGAGTAGATTTTCATTTTGGTGAAATTGCCACATGTGGGCATCAGAAAGAGGCTAGTGAATAATGATAATATCAACAGAAAAAAACATCATTTTAGAACAATAACAAATCAAATTTAAAAATAATTTTAGATTAAATACAACTATGTTTCTGAAAAACTGGGATGCTGAACAAAATGTAAATATAAACAGAATGATGTGCAAATCACTATTTTAAATCTTATGTTTAATTGAAAATAGTGCAAAGACAACATATCAAATGTTGAAACTAAGGAAATTTTATTGATTTTTTGAAAAACATATGCCCATTTTTATTTTGATGCCAGCAACATGTTTAAAAAAAAAAAGTGCAATGTTAAAGAAAACACCTGGTGGAACATCTAACAACTAACTAGGTTATTTGGCAACAGGTCAATAGCATGATTGGGTATAAAAGAGCATCCCAGAGCGGCTGAGTCTTTCAGACGTAAAGATGGGGAGGGGTTCACCACTCTGTGAAAGACTGCGCAGATAAATAATACAACAATTACATTTCTCAACATAAAACAGCAAAGATCTTGGGGATTTTGTCATCTACGGTACATAATGCTGTTAAAAGATTCAGAGAATCCTGAGAAATTTCTGCATGCAAGGGACAAAAGTTCAAAAACCACTATTGGCTGGCTGTGATCTTCGGACCCTCAGGCGGCACTGCATTAAAAACAGACATGATTCCGTAGAGGAAATCACTGCATGGTCTCAGAAAAACTTCTGAAAACCACTGTCTGTAAACACAGGTCATCGCTGCATCCACAAATGCAAGTTAAAACTCTACCATGCAAAGAAGAAATCATATATAAACAGGATCCAGAAACACCACCGCCTTCTCTGGGCCCAAGCTCATTTAAGATGGACTGAGTGGAAGTGGAAAAGTGTCCTGTGGTCCAACGAATTAAAATTCTTTTTGGAAATAATGTATGCCACAACCTCCGGGCGAAAGACCATCAGGCTTGCTAGCAGTGCACAGTTCAAAAGCCAGCATCCATTATGGTTTGGGGTGCATAAGTGCACATGGCATGGGTGACTTGCACATCTGTGAAGTCACCATTAATTCTAAATGATATACACAGGTTTTGGAGCAACATATTCTGCCATCCAGATGACGTCTTTTTTAGTGAAGTCCTTGCTTATTTCAGCAAGACAATGCCAAACAACATTCTGCATGTATTACAACAGCATTGCTCTGTAGTAAAAGAGTCCGGGTGCTAAACTGGCCTGCCTGCAGTCCAGACCTCTGACCTATTGAAAACATTTGCCACATTATGAAACAAAAAAAATACCACAAAGAAGACCCCCTGTTGAGCAGCTTAAATATTATATCAAGCAAGAACAGGAAACATTTCACTTCAGAAAATACAGGAGCAGGTCTCCTCAGTTCCCAAACACTTACAGAGTGTTGTTAAAAGGTGATGCAACACAGTGGCACTAAAGTACTACCACAAGTATCAAAAACCCTTTGCCTATATCTGTCGCCTATAGGGCAGGTTTTACAAACCCAGGTTAATCTTAAAACTAGACTAAAAAGAATTCCCCGTTGTGATTTAAATGTAGGCCAAGACTAGAGTTAATCCATGCCCCTCTCTACCTGTGATTCGCTCTATTATGCAAAACTTGTGCAGCCAATCACGGCTGTAACACGCCGCTCGCTCGTGAATATTTAAACGAGTTCGATACAGGTGAGGCCCACCCACGGCGTTTTAAAGCTTGAGGAATATTCAACTAGGAATGGGCGTTGTCCGTCCAATCGAATCTCATGCTGTGCCGAGTGGCACGCCTTCTGAGTTAAAAAAAAAAAAAAGTCGTCTTTTCTCAACTTTGATTGGCTCTGCCGTCTGTCAATCACCACTCGTTTACAGCGTTCGCAGTTCCACGGCGATATACGCGATTCGCAGGCTAACGGAGGCAGAGGCTGTGATGAAGTAAAATTTGTATTCGGGTATTTTTTTTCTTGTATTAATTAGAAGACGCCGGTCACTGTTAGATTTAATCTTTCTACGATAGCGAAGGTTACTGCCAGGAGGCGACAGAAAGAAATGAATGATTACAAGGGTGTTTTGTGGCACAAAAAAGGGTAGCTAGCTAGCTGTTAGTTAGCCTGTGTGATTTTTGCTAGCCTGCTGGCTATCTGGCTTTTACAGGCTGTAAAAGCAAATGTTTGCTAACGGTCACTAGCCTGCTGATCACCAAGGTAACGTTACGGCGGCTTAGCGCAGACGGCATTAATCTGCACGGTCATGTTTTATTTCGTTCTGTCATTCTTCGCCGTCTGTTAGCTAGTCGTTTAGCTGGCTAGCGTGTCGGTTAGCTAGCTGATGGACAGTTTTGCGGGCGGTCTGTGTCACTACTCGGGCGTCGTTTGGTCTTGGTACTGGGGCGGTTAGCTAAGCTAGTTAGCGAAACAGCACGGATGTCGTGGCAGGCAAGCTCGTCCCGTCCACACCGGGACTCAAGCTGGTAAGGGTCGGCGCATCAAAAACACCGGCATAGCGGAGGACTGTCCGTGGGAAAAGTTCATTTCAGCCTGAGCGGTAGTTAGCAAGCAAGACAATCTGCTCTCATTTTAATGAGCAGAGTTCAGACGGCTGGCCTCAAAAATCACATCTGGACGTACACTACTAGCTAGCATGCGTGCTAACTAAACCAGATAAACATTGGCTTAAGCTGTTTTGGTTTCTGTCTTCACTTCTTCCTTTCGCTCTCCGGTAGCTAGTTAGATAAGCTATGTATTAACCGCACTATCTTTTCAGTCGTTGTTAACAGATTTAGATATCAAGGGCCCTAATTAACCACAGGCCCCGCAGTTATTTCCACTCTTTTTTCCTGAGCAAATTAGCCTATTTCATATCGAAGGGCCTCGTTCTGGTATGCCTCGTTTTTAGCATAAACGCCTAAGAGCATCCGTTTTCTGTTCCGAAACATTAAAAAAAAAAACCCGAGGAGCCACCTGCTAGAGCCCGGCCTCCGTGTGTCTTTAAATCAAGACTCGAATCTTAAAAACACTACGGCGATGACACTGGAGTCCATGATGGCTTGCTGCCTGAGCGAGGAGGCCAAGGAGTCGAAGAGAATCAACGCTGAGATCGACAAGCAGCTTCGCAGAGACAAGCGAGATGCGAGGAGAGAACTGAAGCTTCTGCTGCTGGGTAATGTAGTTAACAATGTTATTTCCATTTTCTCCAGTGCATCTGGAGTCTGTCACTCCACGGATCACGCATTATGTAGGTGCACTGTGGCTTGCATGTACACTGTATGTCGAAAATTATGTAGACACCTTTTGTAAGCAGTAATTTCTGCTTCTTTTGGTGCACTCATTGCTGACACAGGTGTCCGGTTAACACAGAGCTCCATAGATAGGAGCAGTCTCACATGAGCCTAAGGGCACTTTGTGCAATGCAAAATGTCAGCTAGAGGGATGTAAAGCCCCCAGCACTGGGCTGTGAAACAGTGAGACTGGATGGTCTTGAGTGGTAGACCACCATTCGACACCTTTGCTTGTGTGGCTGAGTGCAATCAAATCCTAACAGCAATGTTCCGGCATCTAGTGTATTACCTTCCTAGAAGAGACTGATACTTCAGCAGAGAGAGTGCAGACTCCCTATTAATACCCTTCATTCCAGAGGAAATGTTGGATGAGCAGATGTCTACAATCATTTGGACATACACTGTGGGATCCATTGTGGTATAGCTCTGTGGCAGCGTCATACATGTTTGAACTTGAATTAAAAAACCCTCACGGTAATGGTTACTAGACTTTTTGCCTTGAGGGATTTGTATTGCGATGCCTGCCTGCTTTGGGTGCCACTAGCAACCAGTACATCTGTCACGTAGCGTGAAAGGATAGTGCATTTTCCATCAAAACAGCTGCAAAACGGTTTGCTTCCACCTTGACTTGAGTGTTTACTTTGTGCTTTTGCTCTTAAAGCTTTTATGAATGCAGTTAGATTTTATAATCCTGTTGAACCAAGGTGTTCACTGAGCTGAAGTTAGTTCTGTCAGAGTTGAATGAGCAGACGCTTCTCAGCACTGTGACGCTCGTCTTGTAACAGTACAGTCATGTGTGGTGACGCCATGTGTCAATACATTTTTCTCATGTTTTTATATTGTCTTTAGCAATTATGCAAATAATTAGCTCAGTGATTTAATTGGAACTTGGATTGCTGTTTCTGTCCAGCAGTTACATCAGTTTTAGATTTCCAGATTTTAGGTTCAGCACCATCACAGTGCATGTCTTAACTCAGTAATGTTATCTTTCTGAAGAGTTTTGTTCTCTAGTTTGTAACTTGTAAGTGGCGTGTATCTAACATCATGCCCACATCAGCCACCTTGAGGTTATGGGGTTGTCCTCCATTGTAGGGTTCGACAATAGGCCACAAATACGGTGATGCTTGAAGATGTTTTAACAGTGCACAGTATATATCATGATGGTCTGGTTTTTTGAGGTTTGTTAAGAATGGGACAATGCAAAAGCGCTGGCACATTTAAAAAATACTATTAAAAACTTACATAGTGCATCACTGTGCAACACTACATCCAGTTGTGCAAGTCCAGTTAGGTGTCACCTCTTCTTTGACCTTTTTTTTAATGATACATGTGGTTGTTCCATATTCTTTAAATACTGACGATATCATCATTTATCATCATTTTGTAGGGATGCACAGTGATATTGGAATCATAACGGTATTGGCTGATATGTTTAGATCTGGCTGATATTTCAAAACGCTAGGTGATGACAAATTTATTGTACTGTGGAAGAGCAGAACGATTTTTTCATATCTGGTTATTTGGAACAGATGAAACAGTGGCACATAAAAAAAATCCAAAACTATGAATACAGTGGATTGCATTTAACATTTCAGATAATATGCTGAAGTAAATCCCACTGCTAATTATGCTCTGTTTGTAATCAAACATGCAGTTGGAAAGTGTGTAAGTACTGACAATATCCATGATACGATCAGAAATTGTATTGTGACATGTTGTGGTATAACGTATCACAATAATGATAAATATTGTCATATTGCCCAGCTCTAGCAGAATATAACTGGGCTACTGCACTAAATGTCTGCATTGTATTCAGGTAACTACATTTGTAACGTTATAATATGAATAAATGTTGCATTTATATGTCGTGCTAATCCAGATAGCTTTAATCCCAGTTTCTGCATTTTATACATTTGTATGTATCAGCATGGGAAGTAGGATTGGAAATTAGCACTATAGTGGTGGGTGAATTTACTCAACCTACCAGCCACGGTGGCGGCAAAACAAAAACAGCATATACAGACAAATAATGCAATTGTAACAGAGGGTTTTGTGACATTCCACAATGCGGATTAAATTGTGACGTCTAGTGATTGGTTGGTTAATGAGGAGCCAATGTTCTGTACGTAGTCCGCATGCTTCGGATGCCAATAAGAGAACTAGTAGTTTCATTGCTGGGACTAAAATCCTAAAATTAGAATGCTATAAAAGACCGTGAATCATCCAAATGCCACATCCACATAAGAGAGAGTACAGGTAAAATCAGCCCAGAGAAGGCTGCCTACCAGCCTGAAGACGGCCCAGTTGGAGAAGATGAGCATGCTGTTTAGGAATGCCCATGCAGATACACACTGGCCATTAAAACAAGAAAGTGGCTGGTAAAAAAATTGAGTGGCTGGTAGATTTTGGAATCCACCAGCTACAGTGGCAGGCAGACAAAAAGTTCATTTCCAGCCCTGATCAGCAGGTATGTACATTAAAAAATATCAGATATTGGCATTGGCCCACAGTATTGGTGAATTTCTAGGGGCGTCACACACCAAATGTGCTGCGTTGCGCTACGTAGTGTCACATAGCACAGTGCTGCTATAGAATACTGACAGGGAGAGCCCAAAAAATGTCAGGTTCAAGTTGATTGTTACATTCCACTCATATAAATTGAGTAAAATAAAGTTTTCACTTATCAGGCTTGGCATCTGTTTACTACATCTTCACAGGCTGTTTTTGAGCTGAAAAAGGCTTGGATAGTAACAATGGCTGAGATGACTTACCTTTAGCGGCTGTCTGTTTACCTAAAAGAATGGCTGCCTTTCTCTGTGCGCAACTCCATTAAAAACAATGTGATCGAATTTTTGGACAGGGTGCGACTGCCTTTATTATGGCAGTGGTACAGTTTTTGTGACATTATCAGCATTTGTCAGCATACAACAATGTGGCTACTCTCAGACTGAAGCTGTTTATCAAGGAAAACTATGATGCATAGCTCAGTACACATGATCATGAGATTGTTTGAACGCTGTAGTGTATGTATCATAAAAGCACTGTGTGTCCTTGGTAAGCACAAACAGCCATGCAAAACAGAAGTGACTTGTGTGAGGCATCTTGTAAGGGAGGGACTGAGGAAAGCGCCAATCTGTCACTGTCAATTACATTATCACCTAATCAAATAACAAACCGATTATTTTGACATAGTAGACTTGTAGTTTGACGTAAAGGACCAAACAATAAAAATAGACTTAACTGAAGAACAACAAACTTTGCATAGCCTTCCATCCTACTTTATCAAAGCCTTAAAAAAGACTTGTATGCATGGGTGTGTCCATTGGGCTCAATTTCATACTGTAAGGGAGACCAGTAGGAGAGTTTAAAATGTACAGTGTCACGGGGTCATCAGTTCAGGTCCTGGAGGGCTGGAGTCCAGCCCAGTTTGGTGATTTCCCTGTTGGGCTAGACAGTGGCCCTCTAGGACCTGAACTGTTGACCTCTGCATTGTCATCATGCGGACTGGCGACTAAACATTGCAGTTTGATCAAGAAGGTAAATTTCAATTGGTTATTTATTTAATCAGGCAGGTGTGATGGGCCTGAAGGAGATGTGCATTAACACAAGAGGACAAGAAGAATATGAACCACTCTAGTCTTGATTCCAGTTGTCTTGAGGAAGCTTGTATGTGGTGTGTTTTCTGTGGGATTGAGTAGTCCAATTGGTGACATCATCACCAGTGCTGGGAAAATCTTTGATTGATGGCAATAAGCCTTCTTTATTGCACTGTGGTGGTTATTTGATTTGCTGGAAGAGAATGACCTATGTCTGGAACACACTTTACTTCGACCGTGTAACAAGCCCAGGCAACGCTGTCACTGAAATAGCGGCTATCTTTTTTTTTTTAGATGTAACAATAGGTTTCCTCAGAGGAAGATCAGAGAACTGCTTCATTCTTTCTCCACAGTCTGTTACATGACCGTATTGTTGTCCATTGAAACTGCTTTCTTCAGTCAAGGACTCAAGGCTAATTTTGGCCTTATAGACCGGAGCTTGTGATTTGCTTTTGCTTTCTGTGCTCTACCTGCACTGATGCCGTCTTCTGTGCAGTTACAAGTTACTAAATGGTTCAAATCATAGTTCGTTGAGTTAGCTCAGTGTTTGAATGCACGATTTCCTAAACAATTTTGACACCTTGTGTTTTTTTGTTTTTTTTTTTAATTTCAAACCAAATGGGTGTGATTTGCTGAAGTTGGGTGAACTTACCTATCGTTGGGAGACTGTAAATTTGATCCCAAGTGATGCGATAGCTTTCTGTGATCTGGAGTCCAAGAAAGCATAATCGGCCTTGATATTTTTGAGATGGCTTTCGCTCTCCCCTCCTCTGTTAGCTTGACGCTAGCCAACATGGGCATGTGTTAGCTTATGTAAAAGAATTAGCAGTTGAAAATTGAATTGAATTAATAATTTATAATTAAAAAAAATGAATAAGCAGTGCTGAAAGTGAATAACATACATATGAAATGTAATTTCAACAATCACGTCTATTTTTGAACAAAAATGTTAGACTCAGGATGCTAATAAGACTGACCACTTAAGTACTGAAATTTGGTGTTTTTTTAAATATTTGCTAGTACTAAAGTAGTTTGGTTGGTAACATAAAGGTATTGAATGTAAATACTCAGCCCTAGATTCGAGGCAGTCCTCATTCATGATGGATGTAATTGTACGGCGTATTTGAAAAAGCCTTGAACACCTTTCAGTTTTTAAACAAGACAAAAGTAAAAGTCACATTATCCAGCATATTTAAACATAGACTACTTTGATGAGCCATGTATCCTATTAGGGCTGTATGATATGGACAAAATATCATATTTCAAATGTACTGTTGCATATAGCC